TTACTATAGTTCATATGAATGAAATGAATGTTTATTTTCTGATTTTGTACATCATTCTTTCACCGAAAGTGTTATTAAGCATGCGTCTGCTAGCAATAGCTGAATTATGTAGACGCTCATTAAAGGCGCTGTGATATCTATATTTAGCTCAAAAGGATTTCAAAATGGCGGCGCCCAGTTAACTAAGGATTTTTGGCTTGCAGCCACGGCTGCAAGCCATTTCATTTGGAAAACTTGTTCCGGTTAGGTGGTTTCCTGCTTACATCTGTCGGTGCATGATTGAACGGGAAACCAGCTGCAATCGTGCTAATCGCAACTTTTCGGCCTTTTCCGTCAGTCTTCGGATTAATGATAATAGCCGATGTAGTTCCGATTGCAATCGTGACAATTCGGGCGATTCCGTCATACTGCGGAGTAATATTACGGAAATCTAAGCTATTTTAGTTACTTCGGTAATCCCAGTTTGTGTCTATAAATAGGATTTCTATTTTTACTTGATTTATCGGTTTAAACCGTAATAAATTATAAACGAAATTGTTCCGTTTCATTTGTTTTTCAAGACGCAAAAGTTAGTTTCTTTTATAATTGTTTTTTTGTCTGTATTAGTTTTATACAATAGAGGATGGTGACTGTAGTATTATTCCGTCTTCAAAGTGTGGTCCTGCTTACCAAATCACGCATGATCGAGTTATATTTAGATCTACTGAACGCAATTCAACTTCTTGGTGAGGTAATCTAAAAATAGCCCATGCATATCATTAACCTTGCCACTTGCTGATCTATGTATCATAGTTGATACATGCTTTTTAATTGGTACCACGTAACGAAGTATTTTAGTGCATTTACTTGTCTATAAAGCAAAGGAATGATTTCGCTGCGAAAAAGGGGAAATGAGATGTGCACACTTGTTTTCCTTCAGTATCACGTTAATATTTTTACGATTGATCATTTTCTTTATTAGTTTTATACAATAGAGAATAGATCTAAATCGTTTGACAAAAAAATATTCGGTTTTCCAAAAAAAAAAAAACTAAATAAACCCTTTATGATATACAAATACCTTAATTCAAAAAAAATTGTGATAATAAATTGAAACCAAAAAAAAAAACAATTTTAAAGGGTTGGGATGAAGGCACAACTGTGCAAGCCTTTCTCTTTAAAAGGAAACTTTATTCACAGCTCATTAGGTATAGGATATATATTTTTTTGAAATTTGCATTTACTTTTGATTTGATTTCATTTGAATTGATACGCGTCATACATGTTATCTAAGAGCGCTACAGCCCTCGCGGGGCCTTCGGCCCCGCTGGGACTTTCCGCGTATAATCAAGCCACAGGTTCATTTCAGCCCAAAAAATATGTCGAGGTGATGGGCGAAGCAAGACATGTCGATTTTTGTCGCTTATTGTGAATTTGTATTACATGAAAAACGGGAACATGACAAATCAGCACATAGATTAAACATTCTAGTGTTCCGTGGTATACATCTTTTCTACGTGTCATACCTTCTTTCCTTATTATATTGAAATTTTACTGTATTGTTATCCATCGCTGGTTTGTTTTTAGCAGAGAGTGGCTTGTGCATGTGCAAAGAGGGTACCGTTTCAGCAGATTTCGCAGAGAGGGTACCGATATGGATACGTCGCGTCAAAATATATGCACAGCCGTGCGATACCATTTTTTAAGAAGTCGCAAAAACGGCACGGGTACGTGATAAATTAATATGAAATTAGGTGCTACCGATGGCGCGGAAAGCTCTTATGATTTAAGCATAACATCTTTAGTGTACATGTTAAAAGATCTATGGTGAAATTATGCAGGTATTTTGTAGTGTAAGCAGAAAAGAATAAATTGGTGGTGTTCAACCTATCATCGGAAAAGGGACCACTGCGCATGCGTTGGCGTTTGGAATCCCGTCCGCCATTTTCTGTTAATCTCTAATCACATATGTTGATTTTACGTTATTTTTAATGTGCTAATTTATCCAAAGGATTTAAAAGTAACATTTTACATTTATCATCGTTACTATAGTTCTTATGAATGAAATGAATGTTTATTTTCTGATTTTGTACATCATTTTTTCACCGGAAGTGTAATTAAGCATGCGTCTGCTAGCAATAGTCTGAATTATGTAGACGCTCATTAAAAGCGCTGTGATATCTATATTTAGCTCAAAAGGATTTCAAAATGGCGGCGCCCATTAACTAAGGATTTTTTCACAGCTCATTAGGTATAGGATATATATTTTTTTGAAATTTTCATTTACTTTTAATTTGATTTCATTTGAATTGATACGCGTCATACATGTTATCTAAGAGCGCTACAGCCCTCGCGGGGCCTTCGGCCCCGCTCGGACTTTCCGCGTAATAGTTAGCATAACATGATAAGTGCTTACAAAGGCGAGATTAAATGTATCTGTACCACTTTACGCATGGAAAGAAAATCGGATTAGTTATCCTGAGGCCTCTGGTTCGATTCTCGTGCAAGGCAAAATGTCTCCATGACAACTGGGCTCGGGCATTGAGTCTAATGATGGGAAATCGTGCGAGAGTAGTAAAGTTGTGCAGACGATAACGGACTGTGTGAAGTACGTACTGTTTCGTAGGGTTGTCTTAAAATAAAAAAAATGCTTCATGTTTTATTGAAAATCATACAACTACTGTAAAATGTAACAATATGTTAGTTTTTATTTTTTTACAAACAACAATTGTTAATCAATTATACCACTAAGTTTTTTCGACAAACATGAAACAAACACATTCTAACAACAACCGTACGTAAATCACCCGGGTGTCTCCAAATTGAGCGTACGCTTCTGTATTGTTTAACTAAGCATATAGCATGTTCTACTTTAACTCTGTAACGACATACATATCTATTAAGAAGCTGGAAAAAAGTCATTTCCAATGTGTCGCATGAGCTGATACTGTTGGAAAAATTCCCGTTTCCACGTGACGTATTTTGCCAGTGTTGACAATAACTATCTGTGAATGCTAGCAGTTGTTATTATTATTATTATTATTATTATTATTATTATTTTCAGTAACGATATTACAGCGCAAGAAAAAAGCTGTGAAAATAACAGACGATGAAGTAAAATTGATGTAACGATCCTATTTCGCTCACCCCACAAAGTAGTTGGACATTATCGAGATATAAAACAAAATATTAATCAGTTAAGCCAGCCAGCCAAAGATCTTTATAGAAATGCAACTGGGAAACATTTATGGGACCGTCTGTCAACAAAACGTAGCAAGTTGATGGCCAAACTGCAGAATCAGATTGAAAACATTGCAAGAATATTAGTGTAATTGTTGTAAAAATCGTTGCATTCTACTTTAAAAGAAATTATTTTTGCAAAACAAAATGAGCCGCGTCATGACAAAACCAACAAAGTGCGTTTGCGACCAGCATGGATCCTGATCAGACTGCGCGGATGCGCAGGCTGGTCTGGATCCATGCTGGTCGCAAACGCATTCTGTTGGTTTTGTCATGACGCGGCTCAAATAAATGTTACAATATATCATTAACAAAACAGGTCATATTTGAATACACGACGATTTTAAGGCATTTTTACACAAAATTAGATTAGATTTGAAACCATTACGATGAATGTAATACTGGTTTCGTACAGTACAACCATATTTTCCAATAAGCAACCAGTAACAAAATCTAAGTTAATTATAAACACTGTTATATGCATATGCATATTATTTACGGCCATAAAAGACACTTAACCCATTACGCGATATACACGCCTTTTAACGCCTTTTCACCCCCTCCCTTTTTTGTTGTCTCAAATGGTGAAAAAATGCCTAATTTATACATGTGTATATAAATGTTGTTAAAAAAAGTGACCACTTTTTCGGCGCGGCCCCCAACCAAAAGATACATCAGGGGGTTGCCAGAGGTGCCCCTTCTGTTTGGGGGGGGGTTTGAAGGGGGGCGGCAGTCCCCCTCATCGCCAAATTTTTTTTGGACTTGTGAGAGGCTAAAAATGAACCCAGATCGATCATAAGGTCACGTGTAACCAATGCTGAAAAGCATTTGACTCTATCTCAATCCATTGAGAAGTTGCAGCACTTTGAAATCAATTTTGATGGAAAAAATAAACGCAAAATAATGACATATGTCAAGTTTGAGATGCCCCCTCGTTGCCATGGTAACAGAAAATTTAAGCCTGAGCATGTTGTTGCAAAGGCAATGGTCCAGTCAACATTTGTGCCAAGTTTGATAAGTATTGAAGCAGTTTTTATAGTTTTATAACAATTTGAACTTGTAACGGGAGACTTTTCAATGAAAACAGCCATTTTTCACAAAAAGCTCATGAAGTAATGGGTTAACGCATGCTTGTGACAGACAAGCAGCTGGACAATCATAACAGCCGAGGACACAGCCTGTAGATGGACCGCAACCACAACCAGCCGGTCACGATCAAGCACAGCCGGAACAGCAGCTCCCGCATACAGCAATCGCCCCCGTACGAGACATGTGCCACGATATAGCTGCTGGGCTTTCCTCTTCTGAGAACGATAGTGACAACGATGGCAACAGGGAAACCCAAGAAAACAAAAACAGGCACAGACGTCGCCACCGCTCGATGAACTAGTCCGAGAAAATCACGAACTATATAATAAATTTATGAAAAGGAAAATGCCAAAGCTTTTGAGAGACATTGGCTGCGATTCGTCTGAATCTTATTAGATTTATTTTGCTTTCAAATGCCATTAATAAAATGTGTCTTAAAATCAGAAATAATTTGTATTTGACTTGCTTACAGCTTAACGTGTTTTGAGAATCTCCCAAATATAATTATAGTTCATGGTCCGCTTTCCATGTTCATTGTCGTCGGCACAACTCAAGTATCCAGTCACTTGAGTGCTTGTTTGTTACCCAGGAAAGCCAGTTATATCAATAGACCGCCGTAATATGGCTAAATAAGGTGGTCAAATCGGCGTACAACAGAGAGAAATAAACACAAAGTGATAATACAAGGACTACATTTTATTTTATGTTTGTAACCGGTATTTAAATGTCTTCGATATTTAAGTTAATAGACATATAAATTGTTTACATATTTGATTATATTTATGCTCGTTCTACCCCTCAATTGACATAGGAAGACAACTCTGTCCATAATCTAGTGTGACACTCAGAAGTTTCTTATAAAAGTGTCAACTTGGTAATCGTTTTGGTCAATGTCGAGCGCTCTACATATATCCATCAACTTTCTCTTTACCTCCACCGGATTTGTTCCAGACACAGAAACATTTCCAAACGGTTCCTCGAAAGTGGCCAGATGCCCTAAACTAGGTTCCTCGTAAGTGGGAGGATGCTCTAAACTTTCAAACTGTAGAAAAAAGACTTTGCAACGATCAATCATCTCACTCAATTTATTTTTGTAATAATCATCTGTAAGAAGTTTTCCATGTAAAGATGGAATCACCATCACGCCCATCTGTATTGTGTCTGTTGAACTGTTTGGTATTTCAGGTTTTATACCACAAGAGATCATCATTGTATATAACATCATATCAAGTCCGTACAATTTCATTATCCACTCCCTGAAGACGTAGCCACACATTCTTGGATTGATTTCTACAAGTTTTGGCCCGTTTGCTGTCATTATAAACTCAACATTGAACGTTCCATCCGTTAGACCTTTTGTAATAAACTTTATAGTTATCATTATCTACATACATAATTGGATAACTGATTTACTGATATGTACTGTAACAGTTGACTTATGTATTTTTTATCACGTACAAATTATTTTCATTTGACACTCACTCACACACTCACCAACTGACTCATTCACAAACGCACTCATTATCATTGTATTGTTAAAACGCGATTTGTCGCGTATTTTCATAATCACTCGGATAAAGTGTTATCCTTTCTCTTCATTGTTTCTTTAGATAATAGAAAAGCATCATTTTATAAGGTGAATTTAATAGTTTACAATATCTATGTACAAATACGTTTGAAATTATTATCGTAGGAGTTGCGTCTCAATATGTTTATTTTATCTTATATTTTAATATAGATAGATTTTGAATAAATTTGATATTTACCTATCCCTAAGCAACATTTGAAGGCAGCGTCTATTAGCTTTTTACGGCTCTCGTCTGGTAGAAATGAAGGTAGACGTTTAGCAGTACCTAATGAGCGAAAAATGTTTTTTTTTTAAATGTTGCCATTAATCTCTCTTTTTTTGACAAAATTCATTTGATTCATGCATTTCAATTATTAAAATATTCATATTAAAATGGTGTTAAGAGGTGTTTGGATATACCAACTTTAAAATTGTTAGGTTTGTAGTATAATCCGAGCATTTATTCTTGTTTTATTTTTATCTCGCTCCATTACCTATATAATAGGGCTGTCTCACTACCCCGCTATCAGTTATAGATGCCCATACAAGAGTTTTGTCATATAAAATGACATCAACATTATGTTCTGTACCAGAGTGAAATTCAAAGGTTGTCATTGAATTGCCGCGACTGAGTCCAATCCCGGGGTAGGCCGAATCTGAGCATAGAGAACGTGTTATTTGTTGAAATTGTTTCTTCATTTCTTCTTTGCTTTTGACCATGCAAGCCCCGACACCTCCTGCACAATTGTCTAGTTTGAGAATCGCCGGAAACTTAAAACTGAAAGTTATGATACAAAAAAAGTTAAAAAGATCAAGAATACATCATGTTATTAAGGGGGAATTGTTTTTAGTTTTGATATCGCTGGAAAGTTAAAGCGGCCTTCAGCTTGTATTGTTTGTTGGAGAACAATTCTGCGTTGTTTCAAACTAAGTATTTCAGTAAATTTCAACTCTGTATTTCGTGGACTTTTGCTCGTCACTATAAAGTTGAGATAATTAGTTTGAAGCAACACATAGTTGTTGTTTTTTTATAAAAAATATAAATAAAATATAAAAAAGATAAAAAAAATGAATGCCGCTTTAAATGAACTAAGATCTTTTTTAATGTGTTGAACTAGTCAAGGCGTGTAATTGGAGCGTTATGTACACACATTTTTAATAACGTTAACGTACTTAACAAAAAGGTAATTAGGGAATTAGACGTAATACGCAACCTTTCCGGTAACATTTCACAGTCCGAATCACTTTTTAGATGAACTGCTTGTGAAGAAAATACCCCAGTATTTAAAGCATCATTTTCATTTTTGTTCATGCTCAGCACATTCTGTGTTTGTGATTTCGAGTTCGCTATTATCGCTGATTTGTAACTCAGACCTGAAAAAGTTAAATGTTTATCACATTATGTTTTATATGCATTATACAGATAAGAGTCAATGCTTAGAACACCAGTGTTAAAATTCGTTTTAAAGTCAAATGGTGTTATAAAAACACAACAACTCGGAAAAAGCAGTTGGCACTATATTTAGAGATTTATCACTAAATTAGACATTTCTTTCTTCTATACTCTTAATTGGTTTTCTGCAATTGTGCATTGGCCAACGAACAGAAAAAAAAACATGTCAAATAACTGAAATTCATTTATTTTTGCAAAATTATCCGGAACTACTTTTGAATGATAATTTATCTCATAAAGTTAAAAACTAAGAATTAATACTATACCTCTTAATTCTAATGATTCACAAATGAGCGCCACTAAGGGTGTTAACATGTCTATAAATGATAGGCAACCGTCAATCTTCACTCCCATGCTATGTATCGTATTTATAATTTTTTCGGCATGCATGCGGTCCCTCGTATGATCGGTGAAATCATACTCTATAAAACAATGCACAAGATCTCGTGCAATATGATTTGGATCAGATTCCACAAGTAAAACCTGGAATCAGTAATAGTTATTGTATTTACAATATTTATAGTGAGACAAATATCTTCACAACTTTCTAGAGCCTATCTTTTATCATCTGTATCTCATTGTCTAAGCCGAAATGTTAAAACCAGACATAGTTTATTGAACAGAACAGAACAGAACAGGTCAAACATTTTTTATTCTTAAACACAAGTACAATGTACTTATGTATAAGTATCATAAAATGTTCCGTCTGTTCTGTATATCATCAGAATATATAAACATACATTATGATTAACATGTCACATATCTAGAATATATTACAAAAGTTTAATTATATGATCTTAAACATATACATGTATATTCATATAACACATACATGTATTATAAAGTTAGTTAGATAATAAGGTCATATGATTTATAAATGAATTAATTCCGAATAACAAATGCCTCTTTCATATTATTTTCAGCACATGTTAACAATATCGTCTTTAGCTGAACAAGTAAGCAAATCATCATCGTCGGATACCCACGGCCGAACCATTTACATTCATCGGTTCATGTTATGTGACATGATTCTCAATCGTGGGTATCCGACGATGGCAAATCATATAATTAAGACGAAGATGGGTTGACATAAAAAAACATATATACATGTATGTATAAATATATTAACCAATTATATCAACTGCAATTTCGGGGTAATCATGTAATCAGTTTTTTTACAAACAGAAGTTGGTGCACGTATACCTTTATACCATATTTTTCAGCATCCGGCCAGAAATTTCTCATTCTGAATGTTCCTCCACCAATAACAACTACGTATTTTCCTTCCATCACTTGAATACGGTGATAAACGTGGTGAAACCAAAAGTTCAGAAAGGGCTATTATTCACTAAAATGCAAGCATGAATTTTATAGGTAAAATATTCTTGGCATACGAGATATTTAGAGGAAAATTTACGTGTTAGTGTAGATACATCCTTAATTGCAACATACAGGATCTTTAGCAAAATGAAATTAAATAAGTATTACTAACTTACAGGTAAACATTAGAGCTACTTCTTTCGGAGGCATACGGTAAATCGCTCTATCGCCACTTCTGAGCTAGTGCATAACGTTAAAATCAGGTGTCAACAAAGGTAAAGGGTAGTTTTTTTTATATATACATGTATTTTGTAAACTGATCACCAAATATCAGATTTCGGGAATACTTAACTAATGTAGATTTAAGTATATTTTCCAGAAAACGTTTAGTTGTTTTAACCGTGTTTGAATTGTTGTTGCTGCAGCATTTACCAGCGTTGAAATGGACCATTTCATCGTAAAATATATTTTTTTCCTTACTTTTCATATAAACGGCGATAACCTATATTTTACCTGGCGTGCCAGAAGGATTACGGCATTTCAAATGAATGATACATGTAACAAATTTACTTTAGTAAGTCGGCTAACCATTAAACAGTCTAGTAAATGGAATGTTTATTATTATAATTTCAGACACTTAAATGTTTAGAGTTCATTAGTAAGTAAGTATTAACAAAATTAAATTGGTGAAGGACGGCGCAGCCCTTCGACCAATTTAATTAATTTTTGTACACCTAATCAATGCATACAAAACACGTTTTACTATTTCCTATTACTAACTTTTCTTTTACACATGACGCTCTGACATTTGCCCTCGTGAATTACCTTATTTTCATCCCCGAAAAAGCGAGAGTTAACAAGTTAAAATGACCGGGCTGCGGAGCAAAAACACGCTATTTAGCGAGGGCGCGAGGCGAACTTTAATAAACAAAACTTCGCACTGCGCCGTCTTCTTTTTATTTCTTAAATCTCGCCTGCGGCCCCGCGTGGCGAAGTTTTGCTTAATTAACTTTGCCCCGCGCCCTGCTAATAAACGTGTTTTCACACTGCGTCCCTGCAATCTCAATTCTCGACTTTCTCGAGGTGCGGAAAACACAAATGGCACAAATCAGCAGCTATTTTTTTGCACGCCATAACGTATATAAATTGATAGATTTGACAACAATATCTTCAAATAGAATACAAAGAAACAAACGCTAACGCCATTGTAAATGTTGTTCGGAAGCATAATGAAGATAACTTTAAATTTTACAAATATGTATACATAGCAATTAAATTCAAGCTATTTGTTTTTTAAACTCAAGTATGTATGCAATAATTGTAATTTTGCAATGAAAAATGGAAGAGAGCCATTTTGATTACGAGTAAGATATCAAATGATAGAGCAATATGTAGATTTTGTCTCAATGTTTTTTTTTATAAATATGTTCATTTTAATTCAACAATGATCAAGTTATTTAGATTGCAAGCATATTTCAAGCAAGCACTGTTAAAATATTGATCAAGGCCGAATGGATAAGGCCGTTTACTTGAAACCACTTGCCCTTTCACCGCAGTTGGTTTGAATCCCGTCAGATCCTTTCATGTCGGGAAACTACCAAACTAATTAACAGTACGCCAGTAGTTCTACCCAGAGGCGTGCTTGTGCCCGAAATAATGCAATATAGGGCATATCTGTACCTTATACAGATGTCACTGGTCAATTATCATTATTTGTATCCAAATTACTTACATACAATACGTACATTCACTTTCAATAAAAGTGTTTTGTTTAAACGTTTATGGCCTTAATATAGCATTTGTGTAAACTTATTCTCAAATAACATCGTCGTTACCGACGTCTTAGCTTGACTCGTTGTTTTTAAAGATGTAGAGGTCGTATTCGTGGCCAAACGCGTCGTCATTGTCGTAGTCGTAGCCTTTGTTATAGTCGTAAAGTTTATGCCGCAGTCGTCTTCGAAGTCAACGGCGTAATCAATTATGCCGTAGCAGCGACCTTGTCGTCATACTTTTCAGAATATGATAACAAAAACATTATGAACGAAAAAAAATTGAAGTCACCGTTCTCGTCTTCGAGTTATCTGCCCTTGAATTGGGCTTTTTCGTTGACTTCAAGGGCAGATAATTTGCAATGAAGCGAAATAAAACCTTTTTTTCTTCTTATTTTCACGAAGCTTACCTTCGTCTTAGTCAATATGCAAAATTTCAAGAACATATTTAGTGTGGATAGTTTTTTTCCACTTCTTCTCTTAACCTGTGCATTTTTTCTTAAAAATGGCATATCTTTTATGATTTTTAAGTACCTTTATTTTCATTGAAAAAAAATAACAGAAACGATATAAGGAATGACATGTATTTAACAATAAAAAACAAAAAAACATTAACAAGTATTCATTTACGTAAGTATAAGTTATCTGCCCTTTAAATGACCTCAAATAAGTAGAAAATTCTGATTCAAGGGCAGATAACTCAAAGACGAGAAGGGTGACCCAAATTTTTTCGATTAAAATGTTTCTGTTATCATATTCTTACATGCTGTTCAGTTTAAAGAAATGCAATTCAACATTTTTAATTTTGAAGTCTATATGAAAACTCCCGAAAATGTCCTTAAAGAGAAAAAAATCATTTTTTCAAAGACGCGCCTATATTGTAACGCTAAGATTTTGCTCGTCTTTACGCAATATTAAATTTTGTATAACGCAAATGACACCACGTCAAAATATATGAACGATCGTGCAATACCGCTTTTACGAGCATATGATAAAATGCAAAATACAGCATCTTGACTGAACAGCTTACAGTATACTGTGTTCTGCATGATTTTTTTTATACAATAATCAATATTATAAAAAATGATACAGGTTCTTAGAAGATAATGCAAAGAAATATGAGTTAATTTTTTATTTTCTTATTTTTTAATGATATTTTTTATTTTACAAAAAATACTAAACGTAGGTAAATGGTGAATAGAAATGAGATATTACCAATGACCGGATGGGATATTTCAATTTAATTAATTTACGAACTCAACTTCACAAAATCACGATTTCAACTAAATGAATTCAACTTTGTGAATTTACATTTTAAACTTCACAACTTCAGCTTCGTGAATTCACGATTTAAATTTCATGAATTCACGATTTCAACTTCACAAACGTGCGAGTTTAACATCACAATGTACGATTTTAACTTCCCGGATTCACGATTTCAACATCATGAATTCAACTTCATGAAATCCTATTTTGAATTTCATCATTTCATCTTCATGAAGTTGAAATCGTGAATTCATGAAGTTGAAATTTTGAATTCGTGAAGATCAAGTCTTGAATTCGTAAAATTGAAAGCATGCATTCATGAAGTTGAATTCATGATGTTGAAATTGTATTTTCGGGAAATTAAATATTTTAGTTAATCCTTGACTTTATAAATTATCCAAAAAATAAATCCATTTTGTATATTGGTAAATTTGAGGTATATTTTGTCAGTTAGATACAAACAGACGTTTACCCCTTGTACCTTTATTTATGACACAAAATGTTTAATTATTAAACACGAGATAGCCATGCACGATCTATGTTTCGAACGGAAAATTAAATCAGTTTTATAATATTATTAATTTTTTTATTCCCCCGGGGGATGTATTATTATATTTTAACGTTTAGGGGACAGAATTCGGAATGATGCAAAAAATTTTTAATACATTATATCAAAATTCAAACATGATAATTTGTAATATTTTGAAAATTTTAAATTACGCAAATATTAAATTTCCCCTTTTTACTTGGTTCAAAAGATTTTCTCATCCACATCCATATTAAATTATTTCATGTTTTCTCTTATCACAAGATACTTTCAAGATAAAAGTTATTGGATATTTTTCATCATAATACCAACTCATTTTAAATGTGTATGCCATGCAGTATGTAACTACGCAATATGATAGGTGCATAATTATAATACTCATCTTTTAAGTATATTGCTTTGCGTAGATTTGTATTTTAAGGATAACAACTTTTGGTGACTCTGTCATTGTTTTTTTTTTTTTTTTTTTTTTTT